AGAGCCCAGTGTGGTGGGTGGATGTCTGGGTCAAAGACACAGATATCATTATTTTGAGCCCCTCCCCAACCCTGCTGTCCCTTGGATAGTCAGATCGTAAGTCAAAACCAGGGGTGCAGCTGATGGACCAGAGAAGCAAAGATGCTCCATTTCCCTCAAAAAACACCCCATTGTTTCTGCACAGCAGCAAAGCCAACCAGGGACTCACCAGGTCCTGGCTGGGGAAGAGAGATCTCAGCTGTTACAGGCATTGAAGTCAGGAAACGGGACCCCAGGTAAGCTTTGAAGAGATGGGCGGATAGTTCTAGACTTTTTCAAAATTTTGCTTCAGCAGAGAACATTCCTTTTTAACTCATGTGTTTCTAGTTGGTGAAGTAGGCTGGAGCTTTTGCCAAAGATCAACTCCAACGCCTCAAGGTATACACTTCTAGAGACAGGGATTCCGGGATTTTTCTTTTGTTGTCTGCAGAGTTCCTTGTCGTTTGCCTTTCTCTTTGTTTTGACCAGGCAGAGGGAAATAATATATGCCTGCAGCACCCCTTGCAGCAGATGGAGTCGCGGCTCCCTGCCGTCCCTGCTGCTCTCACTGAAGTGCCTGTAACGTAGCCTCACCTGCCGGGACTGTTGGCTTTGCTGCAGTGCACAAATATTGTAATTTTTAATGGAAATGGGGCAGCTTTGCCACTCTGGTCCATCAAGGGCACCTGTGGGCTTCAGTCACATGCCCACCCCTTCTGGTGACTTGGCAGTGCCCACCATGACAGTGGACAGTGTTTTTTTCCCTTCCCCATTGAAGGGCTCAGCCCAAAGCTTGCCTTAGCCAATGGGATGAGAATGGAGTGAGAGCCACTTCTGATGGCCTTTGTCCTCCTGTCTTCTGACATTCCCAGGGCCATCGCTGTCCATTTGGCCTGAGCCTCAGTGGACTTCGGGCCCTCAGTGTGCATGACTTCAGGTGGCTCTAGCTGTCAGCCACCAAGTTATTCTGGCTGAGGCCAAGTGGAGCAGAGATGAGCTGTCCCCACCTAGCCCTACTGAAATAAATGTCAGCAAAATAAACATTGCCCTTGTGAAGTTAGGGGGTCACTTGTTACAGAGCACTGGGGACTGCAGCAGCCTGGCTTCTCTCTGGGCTTCCATGATGCTCACTGCCCTTGGTTATCTCCCTACCTCATGGACTCGTCCTCTTTCATCTCTTCTGTGGGATCCTCCTGCCCCGAGTACCCCTCAAATGTGCTGGACCCTAAGTCTAACGTCACTTCTCTTTCTACCTCACCTGCCTCTCCCTTTGGGATTTCATTGGCTCTCTTGGCTCAAAGTACCATCTACGTACACGTTTGGTGCAGACTTCTTACCCAAGCTTCCTAGACATCTCCACTGGAGCTCACAGTTCCCCGGAGTCTGAGCATTGGCTCATTGCCTTCCTTTTAAGCCCTTTCTTCCTTCTAAATTCTCAGTCCACCTGTCCTGTGCTAGATGTGCCTCCCTCTCTATCACATCCTGCATGGAACTGATTGCCAACTGGTAATTATGGTATTGCCCTAAAATTGCTTGAATCTGTTCCACCCATTGATTTAGGCTCCTATCATCTCTCAACAGCAGCTGCTGTAGTCCTCGCTGTTCCAATAACAATCTCAAAACTGAAGTGGCTTAACACAGGGAAAATGTGTTTCCCATTCGTGCTGGCATAGGATGGTCTTCAATACGGTGGTTCAGGGGCCCAGGCTTCTTCCATGTTGTGGCTCCATCCCAGCATCCTCCACTGGATCCTCTGTGTCCAGCTGGGAGACAGAGAAGAGCTTGGAGTTTCTCTCCGGAGCTTTTAGGGCCCAGGCCTGGAAGTGGCCATATCACTCTGGCTAATGATCCATCGGCCAGAACTAATCACATGACCTTGCCTAGAGTCAAGGGGTGCTGGGAAATGTTGTCTGGTTGGGGAGTGGAGAGGAGCCCAGGAAAGAGAGGAACAAGGGATTTAGAGGCCACTGGCAGTCTCTGTTAACCAAGTTCACTGCTCCACAGAGTGACTCATGTTCAATGCCAGGATGGACAGGACACCCTTCTGCTTAGAATCCTGCAGTGGCTCCCTTATCACTTGCCATGCACTGACCCAGGTCCTTAAAATGGCATCCAGAGTCCCTTTCTACTCATTTCCTGCCACTTCCTGTCTCTGTTTTATGGGACAGCAGTACCCACACATCCCACCCACCCTGTGTGTGTGTGCCTCTCAGCCTCTCTTCCCCCGCACCTACTATGGCCACACTCCGACCTGCCCTAGGGACTCAGCCCTGCTCCTGGTGGTCTCTGCTACGCGACTCACCCTCACTCCTGGTGCCCCCAGCTCAATCACTGTACCTGGGACCTCATCTTAGGCGCTGATCGTGATTCTGTCCCTCTGTCCACACTGAGAGCTCCTGCAAGGCAAGAATGGTGTGTATTTCTCTCATGCTTCCTTGCTGAGTGCTCAGCACATACAAACTACTTGTAAAATGTTGATGGGCTGAAAGGATGGGTGAGCTGCTTTGTCTCTTGCAGAAGGAAAATCGTGCCAGCCTGTCCAATCAAGGTGCCTGCTGGACCCAGGCTCCCCAGCCAGGGCCACAGCGGCATAGCTCCTGCTGAGGGCAAGGTCTGACAAGATGCTCATGAGAAGGGACCAGCGACCCAGGAGATTCTGTCCCCATAATCTGAGTCTCACGATTTCAGATCAGGAATACAGAGAGAGTTGGCCCATCGTGTCTGAAGCAGAAACCTGGACACGGAGAAGGCAGAGAGTGCTGGGACCATCAGGTGCGGGGCTGTGAGAAGCTTTGTGTGAACATTATGAGTACGAGAAACAGCGGGGAAAAGAAAAGCTCATTAGAGGAGGGGGTGAGGTGGGTGAACTTGTGCAAGGATGGAGTGGCAGAGGCCAGGACAGAGAGTGGCCAGCCCCCCAAGCCGGCAGGGGACAGATGACCCAGCATGACTGAGATCACAGGACATTGATTGCTACAACCTGCATTGGTTGCCGTCACCTCCCAGGTCCCCAACTCTGGCACAGGCCCGGGATGCCTGGAGTCCCCTGTTCCCGGGTCCCGTGAGAGTCATCTCACTTTGATTTTCCAGTGCAACATTTGGTAGGATAGTTGTCGGTTGGGAATCTGCTTTCACTTCTAGACGGCTCCTGGACATGAGTCTAGAGATTCTGGGATCTGCTGACAGCCCCGAGATCTTTCTTCCTCCCTCCCTTTCAGAAACAATTCTCGAGAAACCAACTTGCTTGGCTCAGTCTCTCCGAAATCCTGTGGCCTGCAGCCTTGGAACTGGGTTTATTTATTCATTTGAATTGGATCCTGACATTTCTTTGTGTTTGTTCTCTCCATAAAGACCTTTTTATTTGGGTCCTGGAGAGCTGTTTACTGCTTAGCTCATGTGGCATGAAGATTGTGAGGACCTGGAGGCCTTAACGCTTGTTACTCCCCAGCGACCTCTGCCCTCCAGGGAAACAGGCGGGGCTCCATCCAGATAAGAACAGCCCTTTCCAAACAGAACAACCTCACTCCTCAAACGCAAAGAGCTTAGAGATGAAAAATGCAGGCAACCTCCTACCCACTCATCCCAGGAAGGTGCAGAGTCCTAGGGACCCACTGGGAGAGCCCTGGATTGTCATAATCGAAAGTACTTTTAAACGAGCATTTTGAAGTCTTCTTGTTCTTGGTTTAAAAAAATTAAAAAGCTGAGAAGGTTGAAACTGGGTAAAGGGGCTTTAGGCGTGGTGAGATGAAGGGGCTTTAGGCGTGGTGAGATGAAGGTCCGGTGAATTTTGGAGAGGGCTGTCAGTCCCAGGCTATGGGCAGAGGCTGGCTTGACCAGGGGTCCCGAAAGGAGTGGATGGGTCAAAAACAGACAAAGGAAACACGGGTCACTCACATGAGTTGCAAAGGGAAGGAGAGAAATCGAACAGTTGGTCGTCAAACAAATCCAAAGAAAGAGATGTTTTACTTTAAGAACTGGGAAGAACCAAGCATCTTTGAAGATGGAAGGGTTTTGTAGGGAAAGAGGGGAAGATGTTGAGGAGGGTTGAGAAAGAAAGCAAAACTTGGAAGTAAATGAAAAAGGGTCAGACTCAAGAACGGGTGGAAGGGTGGAATTAGAGATGAAAAATAACATTTGATTTATTGACTGAAGGGTTTTGATGCCGTGGGTAGGGCAGCGAGCGTTTTGCAGGTAATACTCCTCATCGCATCTCCCTGACGTAGACAATACTATAGTACCCATTTTCCAGGCTCTCTCAGCTGTGACAGGCACTCTCCTCTCCTCGAGGAGAACAAGGCGTACAGAGGTGGGACCTGTCCGTGACCACACTGGGCAGATGCAGAATAGGATCTCGTGAGGTGTCCATCAGAGGAGAACAGCTCATCCTCTGAGGGTGGAGGAAGGATGTCCTGGAGTAGCAATGTCCAATAGAAATAGAATTTGAGGCCAGGCACGGTGGCTCATGCCTGTAATCACAGCCCTTTGGGAGGCTGAGGCAGGCAGATCCCCTGAGGCCAGGAGTTGGAGACCAGCCTGGCCAACATGGTGAAACCCCATGTCTACTAAATATTAGCTGGGCATGATAGCACACGCCTGTAGTCCCAGCTACTCAGGAGGCTGAGGCAGGAGAATCGCTTGAACCCAGGGAGCAGAGGTTGCAGTGAGCCGAGATTGCACCACTGTATTCCAGCCTGGGCGGCAGAGGGAAACTCCATCTCAAAAAAAAAAAAAAAAAAAAAGGGCCAGGCACAGTGGCTCACACCTGTAATCCCAGCACTTTGGGAGGCTGAGGTGGGTAGATCACCTGAGATCAGGAGTTTGAGACCAGCCTGGCTAACGTGGCGAAACCCCGTCTCTACTAAAAATACAAAAATTACTCAGGAGGCTGAGGCAGGAGAATTGCTTGAACCCGGGAGGCGGAGGTTGCCGTGAGCCGAGATGGCACCACTGCACTCCAGCCTGGGCGACAGAGTGAGACACCATCTCAAAAAAGAAAAGAAAAAAAAGAAATAGAATTTGAGCCACAGGTGCAAACTGTGTGTGTATTTTGAATTTCCTAGTAGCCACACTAACAAGGGTAAAAAAGAAACAGGTGAACAGATGAAATTAATTTTAATAATGTATTTTCCTTAGCCCAGTATATCTGAAATATTATCATTTCAAAACGTGCTCAATATATACAAATTATTAAGGTGATATTTTGCATGATTTTTCCATACTAAGCCTTTGGAATTCAGTGTGTATTCCACATGTGTGGCGTATCTCCATGTGATCCAACTCCACCCGAAGGGAGAAAGCACTCAGTACCCCACAGGGCTGGTGGCCGCCATATTGGTAGGCAGAGAACTAGAGAATGACTCCTTCAGGAACTACTAAGCCGTATCTTGTGGTCATAAAATGAGAAATCTTCAGGTTGGCTTCAGGCCCAAGACTTGTTACATATTTTTAAAAATAAACTTTTTAATCTGAAATAATTTTAGATTTATAAAACCATTGCATTCTTATGTATCTCAAACTCTAGAATCTACCTGCGGCAGCTCAGGGTACATCAGCTGGTCCACAGAGCCTGGCATATTCAGGGTATAGGACTTTTGGGGTTTTGAGAAGTCAGACCAAGCCTGACCCAATTACTTGGGTGATCAGAGTCAAAATTCCCCAGAAATTACTCAGGGTATTGAGACTCTATGGAATGTTCCAGAGTCCATGATAACAGAGGGAGCTGTAAAATATCTAAGTTATGATTCAGTTTTCTAATTACACCATACTTCCTCTCTGGGTGAGCAACAGCTTCTCAGCTAACATTTACTCCCAAGGTGGTGACTGGGGAGTGAGCACAGGACAGGAGGCACCAAAACAATTGACCGGTGTCAACAGCCTCTCTGGCCTGAAGTATCTGTCAGCTCCCGACTGACTGTAGCCGCCCTGTCCAATAGAAACAGAATTCAAGCTGCCTATGTAGTTTTAAATTTTCTATTGGCAACTTGAAAAAATAAAAAGAAGTAGGTGAAGATAATTTTAATAACATATATTCCTTAACCCAGCACATCTAAAATATTACCATTTCAACAGGCCAACAATATTAAAAAATACGAATTAGACAGTTTACATTATTTTTTGGTACCAAGTCTTCGAAATTCGATGTGCATTTTATACTTATTTGTATGTCAATTTGCATGTTATATGTTAACGGAAAATGTGTAAAGTTATGTACATTTTATGATTGATTTAAAAACTGTAAATTCCATAAAAGACTCCAGTCACAGTTGAAAAGCTAGATTCACCTTCTAAAGTTGTGTCAAACATACTTCAAAAGTTTCCTAACAACTGAATCAAGTATCAGTTTTTGAATTTAGGTTGATTAAAGTTAAATTAAACTAAAAGTCCAGTTTCTCAGTTGCATTAGCCACATTTCAGGGTTCAATAGCCACATGTGGCCAGCAGTTACCGTATTGGACAACAGCCGTTAACACACTGGACGCCTCCTGTTAACACTGGATTTCTTTTTTCAGCTCCAGCTCTGTCTCCTTGACTCTAACTTGTCCAAGCAAATGTTCAGACTTGGTTTTCTCATCATCTCTTTGTCCTCGCTTTGCACTTTTCACCCAGCGAGGGCTTTGCCAATATGGTTGGCTTATGCCAAGGACTTCCGCTTCTGAGATGAAGACTTGTCTGGGGCACGGCTTGCCTTTGTTTTTCTAGATCCCCATCAACATCGGTCCTTGTGGAAACTACTCAAGAGGCCGTGATGTAATTTGCAGGTCCTCTGCCCTTGGGAGGAGCACAGAAGTTGATGAGGGAAATTGTTCTCTATGGTGCTGCCCTGATTTTTTTTTCCTATCCCCTCCTGAGCATTTGAACTATAAGCCACTATTTCCATGGCGATGCTGTGAGTGTGTTTATCTTGGCGTCTCAGGGAGGGGAGTCCTCCCAGCCTTGGTCATGTGGCTCTCAGCACAACACACCTGTTTTCTGTTTCTGGTGGTTGATGGGGACTTGCTCACTGAATTTTGGGTCTTCTTTAAGTGCCTAAATTAGAGTAAGCAAATAAATAACAGGAGAAAGGGAGTTTTAGAAATTGTATGTACAAACCACTAAAATTTAATATACAAATTCCTCAGCCACAGATATTTTTCTAGGGAATTTGAACAGAGCCATAAGAAGTTTCTCTTCCTGGCAGGAGACCACCCTGATCTGTTTTCAGCCTAGGGGGCGTTGCACAAGAGTGTTGGTGTTATGACAAGATAACGGTTCACAATGGAACCCCTTGTGGCAACCTTAGGGTATTTCAAGCATTGGGGCATTCTAAAGTTGGCTCATTTGTGTGATGGTAGTCATGATGGTGGTGATGACAGTGATGACCCTGATGATGGTGGCAATGGTGGTGGTGATGGTGATGATGGGAGGTGATGATGGTGATAGTGGTGATGGTGATGGTGATAGTGATGATGGAGGTGATGATGGTGATGGTGGTGATGGTGATGATGGAGGGTGGATGATGGAGGTGATAATGATGATGATGGTGATGGTGATAGGCAGATGGTAATGATGGAGGTGATAATGATATGATGGTGATGATGGTGATGGTGGTGATGGTGTGGTGGTGGTGATAGTGATAATGGAGGGTGATATGATGGTGATGGTGGTGGGGATGGTGGTGATGGTGATGGAGGTGATGATGGTGATGGTGGTGATGGTGATGATGGAGGTGATAATGATGATGATGGTGATGGTGATAGTGGTGATGGTAATGATGGAGGTGATAATGATAGTGATGGTGATGATGGTGATGGTGGTGATGGTGGTGGTGGTGATAGTGATAATGGAGGTGATGATGATGGTGATGGTGGTGGGGATGGTGGTGATGGTGATGGTGGTGATAATGGAGGTGATGATGATGGTGATGGTGGTGGGGATGGTGGTGATGGTGATGGTGGTGATGGTGATGGTGGCGATAGTGATGATGATGATGATGATGGTCATGGTGGTGATGGTCATGATGGTGATGATGATGAAGGTAGTGATGGTGGTGGTGGTATTGATGATGATGATTATGATGGTAATGGTGATGATGGAGGTGATGGTGGTGATGGTGGTGGGGGTGGTGACAACTGGATTAATTAACTGGAACCCAGAACTACCAGAGGACTGCATGGAAAAATCTTTTAGCAATTCATGTCATCTTTCTGGACCTCAGATTTCTTCATGAGTATGACAAGGCCTCTCCCCAGATATTCTCTAGGGTCTTTAACATTTTATTATCCCCAAACTGCAATGCTCTGTCCTGGTGATGGTCATCATGACAATGATGACAATACTAAGAATTAAAGTGATGCAGAAGGATCATCAGGCATGATAATTCGCCAAAAAAAATCTCTAATGATGTTAATTTTTGACTTTAAAATTTATGTTGTGGCTCTTGACCAAACCTATTGATGTTTTCACTGTATAAGAAAACTCATAGGTGAAACTTCTTTTTCCTTTTTAACTGTGAAGAATCACAGGTGGTAGTATTGCATGTTCGTTCCTTTTTCAAAAACCCACAGGATTCATGTATTCATTTGGCAAGCATTTAGTGAGCACTCACTGTGCCAGCCACTATTTTACACCCTGAGGGTACAGCTGTTGAGCAGACAGGCTGGGGGCTTGTATTCACATCAGGGAAGACAGAAATAAAGAAGCTGATCAACAAACCAGATCACTTCAGATAGTGAGAAGTGCTGCAAGAGAAATTAAACAGAATAAAGTGACAGAAAGTAACCATGGGACTTTAGTAGATCAAGGAGGCAGGGAAGGCCTTTTGTATATTTAAAATGAAAAGTGAACATTGAGAAAGATCCACCCATGAGAAAGCAAGGGAGAGCACTCCTGGCCTGGGGCATAGTTAGCACAGAGACCCTATGGGCATGCCAGGACATCTGGTTTTCTGTCCTCTCCTGTCTAGTGGGCCACTTTTGTTAAGCCAGCCTGGTGATTTAGGCAAGTGTTTGTTGGTCCACTGTAGATAACAACTGGGGCTTAGTCGCTTCTTCTTGCTGGTGGTGGCAGCAATGACAATAGTGATGAGAGCTCCCTGAGGTGGTGGTGATGAGTTCCCTGCGATGTGCGCTGTCCATGGGGACAGGTCATGTCTTTCACTTGTGTATCTCCAACTCAGCGTTTAGCTCAGGAAATGCTTGCGGAAGTGGAGGTAGATACTGTGCTTAAGGAATTAACTGGAAACCAGAGCTACCAGAGGACTGCGTGGGAAACCAGACATAGGTCTAGAGCCCAAGTTAAAAAAGAAAATTAAAGGCTGACCATACAGAAAAAGAGAGGGAGAAACTGCATATTTATGCCGGCCAGTTTACCCAACCACAACCCTCCCAGAACCAGGAAAGGATATGAACACAGTGAATTCCAGCTCATGGAGTCATCAATGCAGTATCTCAAGAGTGATAAAGTGATCAGGCAAACAGCCAGGCACACAATTGAAAGGCTGGGAATTTTCTATGGTTACCAAAGGCCCTCCCAGTGGAATTTCTGTTTAGTTTCTTGGGATTTGCCAAGTATTTTCCAGTACTTTAGTTATTTGCATATTACCTTCCACATTTTTACTCTATCAATGTCACTGATAAAATACCTATTACCAGTCATGTACCCTATATAACAGAGATCAGCACGCTTTTTCTGTACAGGGTCAGAGGTCCAACCTCACCCATATTATTACCTACAAAATATATTAAGGACTCACTGTAAAAAGATATATACAATAAATTAATTTAAAGGAAAACTTCCTATCACTCCCCTAAATGGAAAACCAGGAGGCCCTGCCATGAATAAACAACTGCAAAAGTAAATTCTATGAAAACAAAACACGGTTATTAAATTCCAACTGGAAGGATGAACAGCCTGAGGCTTAACTTTTCTTATTTAAAAAAAAAAAGGAAAAAAGGAAAAATTAGGAAGTCCGCAGAGGCATTAAAGACTCATTTGCACCAGGCTAAGTCTTTCTCTTTGCAATAATCAGCAGGATTAAAACAAATTGGAAGGCGAATGGCTTCTCCACGAGGTGGCTTGATCTCATTTAGGTCCATTCCGTTTTCCACGTGAAGTCATCTTGCTGCCCCGACAGCAGTGCCTGTTTCTGAGAAACCCTGGTTTTGTTTATGGTAGAGGTTAAACTCTGACAAAGATGGGAGGCAGCCCCCCAAACCACACAAGGAGGTCAAGGCTGATCACCTGCCAAGAGGCAAGGCAGCCCTAGGAGGACGGCCCCCACCCCCACCTCCGCCCTAGGCAGTATGCCTGGGTCTTAGACAGCTGCCCTCGCTGATCCCATAGGGAGGAACCTAAACACTCCTGCTGAATTACTGCTGGTGACAGGCTGTGATGTGAGCCCTTGCTGAAAGGATGACCCAGGACGCGTGCCCACCCTGGCACCTGGATGATTATAAAAAGCCAAATCTGACTCACTCTGCTCTGGTCTGCCCAGCAGCACACACTGTCTGGACTGCACTGGGGAGCCCTCTATCTGCTTGTCCCCCGACCTGTCAGGGGCCCCAGGGGGGAGGTGGGTAACCAAGCAGCAGGGGTCGTGAAGCCTGAGCCCCGGGGACCCAGCTGATCCCAGGCAAGGAGGGGCCAGGGTTTCCCTAGGCAGTGCTGGTGCCCCTAAGCTTCATCCGATCTCGGAGATAATAAAGCAGGGCTGCAAGGCAAACAAAGCTAGACTGCAAAGTAGAAAGTGTGTTAGCTAAAGAATTATCAGCCACTATTACCGTGAGTGAGTGAAACACTTGAGTCAAAGAGCAAACTCAGGTGCTCAGCTCACGCATGCTGTGCAAACAGGCGGGGCACAGGTGGAGGGCCCAGGACACACGTGGGCACCAGGCCTCCAACGCAGCCCGCCCAGAGCCGGAGAGGCCCCTGGAAGGTTTGTGAGGCTCATAAAACCGGATGTTGAAGATTTCGCAGGGCTCCAGAGGGAGGGTGCAGCCTCAGGAGCTCTGAGACTCCTACAGAGTCCCTCTGCCTGCTCAGGGATCTTGTGCCTCTCAAGCTAGTTCATCCCATGGGGAAAGCAGGAGACAGAGGACAGCAGATGCCATCGATGTCAGGCACTCATCCCCTGGGCACTCAGGGCCAGAAGTGCCAGGGACTGTGTGCCTGCTCCCATCAGGAGGAGCCTTGAGTGGCGACCGACAGAAGTTGATCCCTTAGGGAAGCAACTCCAAGGCGTGTTCCTCCCTGTCTTCCAGGGTTCCTTACTGAGATGGAGCCTCGGCGGCCCAGTAGTAACCAGCTCCCTGATGCATGCTTTCTTTCCTGCCTCACTCCCACTGCTTCTCTCTGGGAGTTTCCTGGAATCATGTCCCAAAATACTCCTCGCCCTCAAATCCTCAGCTCACAATCTGCCTCTGGGGGAATCCAGCCCAAGCCAGGGTGTTTCACAAGTAAACACAAAAATATCCCGAGACAGCAGTCGACCAAGGCTGCTGCTAGCTCACCCAGTGCCTTTGCACAAGTGAAAGGAGGGCATCCCTTCCTCTGGTGGACCCAGAGCACATGTTAGAGTGCAGAGTTTAAGGAGTAGAGCATGGATGCATTCGGCTCCCATCGCTCTCCTGAGCTGGAACACCCTTGGACAGCGAACAACCTGCCCAACCATACATGACATCTCTACGTTCTTAAGCTAGGTGAAGAGCTCATTTTCTAGAAGAACCAAAGTGATTTTGAAAGAAGTTAAAAATAACTAGAAAAATCCCATTGTGTTGGTTTGAAATCAGAGTAATTGGTATTAACTCATGGTAACACATACACACACACGTATACACACACAGATGGATAGATGTATAAATGCAAATGTGTGCATGCATGACTCCAACACACCCAGAAGCAATGACATCCCAACAGTGAAGAGCACCCTTGCACTCAGATCTTGGTTCCTATGCACCATTCTCCAACCAAGGAACCAGTGAACATTTGGAGAAAGGGCTGGTTTCAAGACTGGGATGGGGAAAACAAAGATGAGTCCATACTGTTGGAAA